AAAAAAAAACAACGAAAAATTCAACGGACGTGATCGATATCGACAGAGAGCACTGTTTTTCAACGCCACACTCGCTGCGATCACAAGATCCTTCTCGCGAATCATTCGAATCAGAAGCACGCTAAATGCAACAGCTCATTGATTCACAACTACCACTCGTTCATTTCAATGACATTTCCTAACACTTCTATTTCTACTGATACCGACCCATACATTCGCATTCTCAGTAGCAGTCAACAGATATAATCTGATCGTTTCGGTTAGAAACTGAACCTGACGACTGCCAGCAAAGATGAGGTGAAGGGATCAGTTCAACGAATATTCGAGAAATAGTTCGTTCTCACTACAAACACGTATGACTTAGACGCTCCAAATTTACTCTTTAGATCCAATCAACGGCTAAGTGACTTTATTTGTCGTATGAAAATTATTGTAAAGGAATCGTCAGGCTCAGTTAATGACGTCTGAATGAAGTAAAGTGCATCAATCAGTGAACATTCACTTCGCCATTATTGTTTTCCGAAAGATTTTTGAATTCGTTCGGTCGCAAATCGAGTCGTAATTTCTTTTTTGCGACTTCCGCAGATTCACGTCGGTGTTTGACTCGAGTTGACGAAGACGTTGTGGCTGTCACCGTTCCTTCATCCTCTTCTTCATCCTCTTGATCATCCTCTTCACACTCATCTTCCATTTGCAACTTAAAATTGTTTAACTTCTAATTTTGTTGGACACTTGGAAAATGTTCACTTTTTCAAAGATACATTCACAAACAAATCATGATTGCGATTCATCCGCACAACCGTCATTTCTTCTCGTTTTATACCCAACAACTTCCACTCTATCCTGTTCAATTAAGAATTTGTGTGATAATGCATTATTTATTCAAATGAATCACTGAACGCAACCTTATCATCCGCTTCAACTTTGACGGTGTTTGCCATGGACAGTTTGGATGAGCCGTCGTTCAATTTGCCCTGATAATCATCATATTTGACTGTTGCATCACAAGGACTCAACTGCGGTGATATATGGCAGACATTTCTAAATAAATTCATTTTATTTGTTGAAAGCGACTTCAACCAAATTCAAAATATTACATCAAAAAGCCTCAATTGAGTTTTCTATGAGTTATGGCTGTTATGAGTATGATACTTACAGGATGTGTCGTCACTTCATCTTCTCAAAGTACCAATAAGCATTGATCTACTTTTTAAAATTCTTGAAATGGAGACACTGAATATGCATTATTGAAACTTTTTGAACTATGTTTATGAGACTTTTTCGTGATATACATCAGTCAAAGAAGACTCAGTTAGAAACAGACAGCTATCTGATGTGTTAATGTGTGGTGATCAAAGAGAAAACGTGAAATCGAATCTGGTCAATCCAGGGTTTTATAACATTCATATAGCTATTAACTGAATCCAACGGATTGTTTTGTTCAAGGTATGAGGCTGGAATTTATGCGTAGAATATATCAAGGTGCAAAAGTGGATTGCTGACATAAAATACTGGCCACTGAAAATTTTTTCAAAATCTGAGTAGCCGAGACTGAGCCTTAGTTCTCCTACTTCATCAGACTTTTATTCATCTGTTATTTGAATGGTTTTATTGACAATAAGAGAAGATTATTAAAACATTTTGATCGGTATAACTAATGAATACAAAATTTCTCTGAAGTTTTCATGATGAATGTTCAAAGGACCTTGCTGGACTGCGCATGATGATCTGGCTGAATGGTTCGATCAGTGAAAGAGGATGAAACGTGACAGCTGATCAAAACACCTGGAACTGATGAGAACATTCAAGAGATGATTACTTATTGATCTGATGTTTTAAATAAGTTCGAGGAAAACAGTTGCGCGATTACGACAAGCTCCACAAGGTCATCGCAATGATTACAACCTCCTCCAGCGGGAGCAATTCAAGTTGATTGCCCATTCGACTACTGCACGACGTGAACGCTATCAAACATTTATTTCATAAAAGCGATTCTCCTGAATCAGCCCTTATCAACGGACCATCCGGCATTTTTGAAATAAGATCGTCGGTGAGGAGTACAAATCAGATACGAAGAGTGGTCGTTTGTGCGGTTTCCTTTCACAGGAATCGGCATCTCATCAAAAACTCGTAAAGAATTTTAGGTGTAAAATGAATAAATATCGATTTTGGTTTTTGAAGAAGGCTCATTTTTGGCAACATAAAAAATGTAGCACACATATCCACCACAGTTTCTGACTCATTCACTTGAAATACGCTGATGTTAGGATTCGGCTGAGAACTCAAGTTTAGGTTTATGCGCAGGTTTAGACGAGTAAGGCTTAAAACCCGTTGGGTGCCTTGCATGCATTGCAAATGTTGTTGCTGTAATATTATGTTTGCATTTCTGAGGTGTAGAGGGAATGAACATCCACAGCAATGAAGATGATAATAACTCTAATAATATCGTTAAAGATATTGATAAAAATGATAATAATAAGCAGCAATGATAACTATAATTAGGGACTGAATCACAGTGAAACGTATATACGAGCAAATTGTGAGGTACTATTAAATGAGGCAATGATGAGATGGGTGGTATTCAGTGAGAAGAAACAGTTCAAAGAACAACCAATTTACAATCTCTAATCAATAATCAACTCTCACTCGATTACTATCCATTCCTTAGGTTAAATCGAACAAACCATTACAAAGATGTGACGGTCCATCGGAAATTATTTCTATTCTCACGATTGCGTGATATCGCGATGATTTTTGGGGATGCGAAATTGAAATGAAAATTTGAACGCAAACATTCAATAAAGTCAATCAATTTCCAACGGATTCAAGTATCACTTACTCGCTATGAGGGAACTAGATATGACATTGCTTCATTTACTGTCAATAAGGAGACGAAAAACCACATATCTTCATTCTTACATCTTATGATTACGCTTTTGGTACGGGAATATATGTGGNGTCAATAAGGAGACGAAAAACCACATATCTTCATTCTTACATCTTATGATTACGCTTTTGGTACGGGAATATATGTGGGCATAACCGACGACATACTAGACATTAAAATGAGGCGAGGAGGATTAGAGGGAGAGGTAGCTGACTGGATTAATAGCGCACAGTTCGGTGAAGATTTTTCCGGTAAGAAAGATCACTTTACGGGGTTTCCCTCTCCTTTTTTTTCGCGAAGAAATGTCAGGAAAAACACGACACTCGCCGAAAGAAACAAATTTGCAATCTTCTCTCACATGTCGAATGGAATTATGAACGTCAAAATTCAGTATCGATTTTCAACGATGAAATGATACATGAAGCCTCACGATTCCCACACATAAATTGAAATGTAGAGTACGCATTAAAAAAAAAGAAAAAAGTGGATAGGATGCCATGAACACTTCTCATTCGCAATCCGACAAGTTTTGTGTGCTGATCACCAACCACAAGCAAACACAATCGCGTCCCCTCGAAAATGCAAATCTTGGATGTCGGTCGGTCGGTTCAGGTCCCACCCAACCTTCAAAGGAGGACATTATTCGTGCGAGTGGAACGCGATGACGCGCGTTGTCTGCGCCACACACATTACGCTGTGCTGTTGTTTGCCGTCTCTTCACTGCCTCTCTCATCTGATTGTGAGTGTGCTCTTTGAAGAGGTCTTTGTACTGGTGGTTGAGAATGGTGAATGCAGCAATGTTTTTAGTCGAGAAGNATGATTTTGGTAATAAACTTATCCTGAAATGTAATTAATTAATCATTGCCGGCTTACTCGTATGCAAAAATGTTTGTTGTGTATCATCACCTCAGCGGTGATTAAAAGATGAAATATTGTATGACGGCGCCATTTCGGCTTTTGCTTTTCACAAAACAATAAACAAGCATTCGATAGTATCATCACTCCTGCTTCTTGTTTCCTGCTTTTCTTCCATTTATTATGGTCAATCACTTTCGCATTTATTTTCAAAATATGCCTCCAAACAATGCAAGTTCGTCCGAACTTATCAGAAATACAACACAAAGCGGTAATCACCCTCGACATCAGCAAGTTGACTCCGCTGGATCGAACGGTGTACACAAATTCATATGTTACTGGGCAACGCTTCATCCAATAATTGACGTGTTTGCTGTCAGTGGAACGTTGAATAGTAATTGAGTCGAATGGTGAATATGACGATCACATCGCAGCAAAAGTCGAAGGATTCTTATTGAAAACGATCTGGTGAAGTGAATGTTCTTTCGTTCCCTTTATATTTATCACTAAAAAAGACAAAGAACTCTTTTTCGTCTATCATCTCAACACATCCCTAATACATCCGTTTAAAAATCACTTACAATTAATAATAAATTCTGCGTCACTAATTCTTTCTTGACTTCATTCGGCTCGTTCTCATACTATGTCGTACTAAACGACCATAAACTTCAATGATCTATGCAAATCGCACGTTTTATCCGCAATCGAACATTCCATTTGTCATGACGACATGTTTACTTATTTGAAAAAAAACATCCAAAAACTGCGGCCTCTTGTCGAAAATCATTCCGCATTTATCGCTCATTAAGATGTCGGATCTTTATACCGAAAAAATGATCGCTGAAATTGTTTATGAGGGAGTTTCAAAAGCGTGACACCGGAAGTGTGTTGAAATTTGTGATGATTTCAAGCAGCGAAGTTGTTTCGAGGTGGAAAGGAAAAGATGAAGATATACGATGAATGATGACTGACGTTCGTCAGCCATTCGTTTGTTCTCTCTCGACCAACTTCGGCAGGGTACCCGGTCAATCTGCCTAAAGACATTCTGCCTAACGACAGTTTGTCTAAAGACACATTGCCTAACGGACAGACAATTTGCCTAACGGACAGTTTGTCGAAGAAGCAGCGAAACCCAATTCAGCAAAATCAGTCCGCTATTCGCTATTGTTCTTCGCTACTTCGGAATCTTCCCTCAAAATTTGCAATTGTACCACTTATTTGTATGGAAAAAAAGCCTCATCACGCCACTAAACAGTCGAAAACTTTTAATGAATCATTCAACAACAGATAATCATTCTAAGAACAAGCACCAGTCAATAATAAACGAACCGACAATTACAAAATAACCAAACGACGAAACAAAATTCGAAGATGAAAAGCAGTCAATTGACAATAGCCCACATTACACTTTCGCGTTCCTTCTTAAGAACATCAGCATGCTGGGCATTTCGTTTGAAATTCCGGATCATATGGATCTTATGTCCACTTAGATGAAAATCAGCGATCGTCACAACTATACGTAGAGAAGATCCTCAAATGAATCCATAAAACTTATTTAACCTGCTCAAGTTCTAAAGTTTTTGAGAAAATAACTTCAGCCAAACTCGGAAACCATTTTACAATAAATGAGCTGTTTCTCCATTTCCGAAGTGCCTTTCTAGATAAAAGATCAATCACTTCGGTTCCACTTTGCTCCTAGCGAAATCGTGTATCTCATTTAGACAAGAGAGGCCACATCGACATTACATGTTTCGTTTGATTCAGTATCCATATCTGAATTAAACTTAAAATTACAAATATACGGCCTACAAGGTTGCCTGGCCAATTGAGTCCGAGACACTCTTATGAACTGTTTTCAGTCATTCTAAGTTACTGATTCGTCCATTCCGTCAGAACAAATCAGCAGTGGTTATCTTCAAGGATCTATTCAGTTTCTTATTCTTACTAAATATTGCGTCTTCATGCTCTCGAACAATTTCAAAAGAAGAATGGTCCTTAAATTGGTTTTTACTGCTAGCTCGAATACAAACGAAATTGATTAGAATTGGGAAGAGCAATCCTACTAACCCCCGCCAACATCCACAATTAAGAATTAGCTCCTTCCTCACCCAACCATGACTAAGTCATCATAAACGACCGAATAATGGATCACCATCATGTTTCCAGTGTACTTACAAAGGCTAACGCTACAGCATCACTCACTAAGAACGTTCAGCTTCATTAGCTTATCCGCACTAAGCAAAGTACGTAAACTAAATTCGCCCACTCTAGAATATACCTCTTCCCGTTGGTCTTTCTCTGATCAGTACGATAACAAATGCTACATTAATGTCTCTAAAAAGTTCGAAGAAGATAAAGCGCTACCTTGATGAAATGATGAGAGCGCTATCGCCTTACCGAAAAAACAGAAGCTCCGCTGGTAATGGAACAGCGTAATACTGTGCTATTGTTCATCTCTGGCAATAGGTATTCCTTCCTGTTACGCAGTTGGAAGTGTCTTACGAATAAAGTAATTACGGTATTTTCGAAAATTTGTGAACGACGATTATTGTCCACCATTCGAAGATTCAATCTTATCTGCTGATAATTGATTCAACAGTTCGCATGATGAATGCAGATATATTTTGATGTATCGATTCCAAAGAACTCTCACTTCTTAGAAAACATTCCAGTGGGAATGAGAACTTGAAGCCCGACATCTTGTATGCGTACTTTATTTGTTTCAGTCATCCTCATAAAAACGAATTTGATAAAACAAGCAACCATCTTTCTTTCAAAACAAACATGATCAACACCTTAAGTACACACTGCAAAAAAAAACAATTTCCATAGTTGTCCGCTGTTCAGCATTCACTTATCAATTAAACCAAACCATATTAATAACGTCGTAATCGCTCCATTAAATTTAATCCCCACAATCAGCTAAAATCATACATCCAGTTCGTCGTTGGCGTCATTTTGTGCCACGACGTGTCATTCCACCTTCGGAAGCATTCTTTTAATCTTTTCACAACATACAATGCACATTTTCAGAAATTAAGGTGACTTCTGTACTCAAGATGGTGTTTTGCTCTTTGAATCAATCTAGACGATAAGCTGTTATTTGTTTCAGTTTACAAGTAAATTTTGATTCTTCTCAACTTCATAAACCGACGCGAAGCTGAATGAATGAAATAATATCAGAGCATTCTGTTACGGTTCCTGTTAGAAATCGGCCACGTAAAAGAAGTTTTGAAGGAGCTGAACTGAAAAATTTCAGCTGAACAACCAACACTTAGCTGATCATCTGAAGCAATGACTTGGTCAAAGATGATGCAAAGACGTCAATGAGTGATGTTCGCAAATCATTCAAATAATTCCATTTCAATGTAATTAATGATTAATGTGGTGGTTCNNNNACCCATCCATCAAAATATAGGTTTATCATCGTAGATTATTAACAAATGTTAAACCTCTTGTTCAACCTCTAACAAATGTTAAACTTCTTCACATCCTATCCGTTTTCCATCATTTGATTTTTGCTTTGACAACTGCAAGCGAAAGCAACTTGTTTTCTGTAATCATCGTGGAACTTTAAAATTCGCACTGGTTTAAATTTTTTCAAGGTGAATCTCATCTTTCCTACATCTTTCACACACCCAATTTCTGAGATTTCTTGCTCCTCGCTCAAAATTTCGAATTTTTTATTACGGTAGCTGTACAAATCTTACATTTGTCATCAAAATTTTACAAATAACTCAACGCTTTTTTACACAAACAAAATCGGTGTTCTTCGAGCTTCACAAGATCACTTCGGTTAGCAGATCAAACGGAGCATCATCAACCATTGGGATTGTGGATGTGAAACCACTGTAACAACTTCCATCCGAATCAATTCGCCGGGGAATCGTCATGTTGAATACGGACGAACGACTGCACGTTTCACGATTGCGTGGCTGGAACTGAAACAGTGCTTCATTGTATTCCAATGCCAAACAACGATTTCCAGCTTCAGATCATGATACGCTGCATGAGAAAACTTTTGTTCAATCATGTTCTGCTCTGTTGAAGGGTTCAGCTTTCAACTTTCTGCAAAAAGAAAGAAATCAACGCAAAACGAACGTTTCATTTTGCACTGAAGATCGATGAGAGGTTGCGTTGAATTTAGAGTTTTGCAGAGCGATCAACATCTCATATCGATCCTTTTTCAGTAGCAACTGCGCAATCACCCAGAATATTGCAAACAAAAATGCAGCCAAAACAATCAACGTAACCATTAAATACGACAAGCAATATTTTCTCAGTCTATATTCGTCATCTTTATGCGAATAACCTGTCGACGTATTGGCCAAAGTACTTTGCTCTTCAGCGGTGCTCAACATAATATCTGATAATATCTAGCATCCCATTACGAAATTCTCTTATTTCAGCTTATCCTTACCGTCGAGCGTCGCTCTGTTCTGCAATAGTATTATTAATATTTCAGTGGTAACCTTCAATACCGAACGTATTTGTACGTACATACACTCATACGCGAAATACAGAGAACTTTTCATCCACTGAATGATCGCTCCCTTCTATGAATGAATAGAAAAAAGACAGTGAAAAATAAAAGTGAAAATCCTTAATGGTCACCACGAAACGTTGCTGATGGGACGAGAGTTGATTTTGTATGCAAAAAACAATTTCCTTCTAGGAGACATTCGAGAAGTGTACTTTGTTGTCGTGTATCGATGCAACTCACCGATTTCTGTCATCACTAGAAGTATTTGTTAGGAAGTATTTGTACCTCGAACAATGTGCATACCATGAATAATAAGAAAATGTCGTCGTGCTTTCAGGATGTAATGCGAGAACGTCGAAAGTCTCTAGCGTATTCTGAAATTTGAAAACTCGCAACGCAAACGTTTGCAAGTAGAGTTGGGAACGGCTAGATTTGTTGCGATGGACCCGACCGAATGCTCTATCGGCAAATTTTGAGC